TTTCGTGAGTGAAGTTTACCGATAGACTTTTCTATTATATTCTTATTCTTATATATTAGTAGGTATAAAATGTTTTTATTCAGCGTTCCTCTTTTCGTGAGTTAAGTTTACCGATAGAAAAATTATTCTTTTTTGTTACTAGGTATAGAATGTTTTTATTCGGCTCCTCATTTCGTGAGCCGCACTCGATGAGCGGCAACACGGTCAAGAGGTCGCCTTCCGTGGAATATATTTTTCAGTTCAATGAAGATGGTGGTTTCTCCGTTGTGTACGCTGAGTGCCACTCTACGTCCAGAACAGAGAGGTTAACGAGAAACTATGCATTATATATACGAGTATAAATTTCTATGAAATATTATACTAAGTAGCATATTTCTGAGAAATTTATAGTGACATTTGGAGCTCTGGATAACGATAAAGGTCTAATATAGCATATATAATAATAATAATATAATGATATTTACAATTACTTGGTCAGTGTGATTCGGAACTTTTTATTAAGATACCGAATAATTTCTATTATGTCGGAACTCCATTAACAATCTTATAGTGACTGATATAAATTTCAGTTACTCATTTGACTGAATGTTAATATATTTGCAGTTTTAGTATCGATGTCATGTTACTCCATCACGTAACTGTTGAAATAATTTGATTGGCAATTAGTACACGTATAGATCAAATATTGACACTAATCCTAAGAGAGAAAAAAACAAGAGATTCTACTAAAAGAAAGATAAATACGTATAAATACTAATTCGTAGGAGTATATTCCATAATTATACCTTTAAAAATCCTACACGGAGTCATAAACATAAACATATTTCTCATTTGAAAGTAACCTATATGACTCCTTACAATATTAGCTTTTTGTAAGTAAAAGTGTGGGTAAAATGGGTACAGTCATATCAGAGATTAGCAAAAAGAAACAGACATAAAAAATGTTTTGATGTAAGTACCGTATATACCTTCATATGCATTTAGTTAAAAACTGTTAATTTAAAATTACAAAGAGATACTTCAATTCCATTGATTTGTAATAGATTATCATTATAGGAATCTTAAAACAATTTTTACGTGAAACATATACTTTATGTACTTACGTAATTAACATAAAAAACTTGTGTCGATCAGTGCTCACTGTCTGCCGCTGAAGGAAGCTCATTTCCAAGCGTTCTGATGTAGGTCGTCGGGTCGGAATTATGCATGAGGCCCTATTACCTGACCGCTCCAATTGAAGGATAGATGTGACCTTCGCGAATTTCCGCCCCCACCCTACATCTTGACTGCGTTAGGAAGCATACATAAGTGACGAAACACCGTTGCTTTATCTCCTAATAGGTTCTTAGTAAAATTGTAATTTGCTCAAAAATATGCAATTAAAGAATATAGGGGAAGTAAAGAGAATAGTAATCTGTACTCAGTGACCAGTTGATTTTTTTAATACAAAATTTTCTATATGAACTATGTCACAGTTGAAATGGTAAAGTGATTTGATATTATGATACACATAAGTGTTGTTTGGAATTTAATATAATAGTTTCCTCAGCTAGAACATTTGGTTTTATCGAAGGTTAAACCATTAAGTTATTGGAATTGATTTGTTTTCTTGTACTAACAGAAAAATCAAGCAAAATTTCTGTAAAGTTCCTATTATGTTATTCTACACAATTTGTATTATTTTGGAATAAATAAATAAATACGATACGAAAATCGTTGTATAGTAAATAAGAATACTGTAATGCTGTATAAATATCTTTATTATTCGTATTCGTATGTATAGCAAGTATCTACGCCTTGAGACTCATCTAAACATACAGCGCATGCGCGTCGCGCGGTAGCCGTGCAACCGACCAATAGGAGCGCGCCTCTCACGCTTCCTGAAAGATCGAGACTAACGGACGATATTTAATAAGACCACAGATATGGTAAGACGATGAGTGTTCCCGTGACATCATTATAATACTGTTTGTTGTTAAGTTTTATTGTAACATACACAATTTTATAATAAAATAACGTGTTCCCCCGTCACAATTATTAATTATGTAGGAAAAGTAGTAGGACGTTTTTTTTGAGTAAGCTATATTAAGTATCAAACGACAGTGCTGGAAGCTCCTTTAGTTTGAAATGACTTGCGTTTAGTAGCTTTCGTGATCTACTGTCTTTTGTCCTTTTTTTTGCTTTTTCCTCTCAATTTTGTGTGCGCTAATGTTTCGGTAAGTATACAAATGGATTACAGGTTCTGTATGTTTTTATTATGCGATTACGAGTTTTTGAAAAATGGGTTGTATATATTGATTTATTACATTTTACAAAAACTCGTAATCGTATAATTAATCTAAAATAATTTTAGGTTGTATACATTTGAAACAATACTCATATTTTCTCATATAGATTTACTATTCCATAGAATATTAGGATTAGTAAATCTATACGAGAAAAAAATGCTTTCTCTCTTAGTAATTAAGATACATACAGCACACATACGCTTAAATATCTACGTCAAGTAACAAATGTAATATACATATATACTTCATGTTACAAGCGCACCTATAGCGCAGGTGTAATATCTAGTTTTGGTCATCAGGGTCCTCATATTGTATGGCGCAACTTTCTGCCATTTGATTATACAGGTAACTAACTTCAGCTGTTATGTATTGCTCCTTTTTGATGTTGTAATCTCATGATATGTACCAATACATCATTATTATTATTATATTATCATTACATAGTATAAAATAAAGTCGCTGTCGCTATCTGTCCCTATGTATCCTTAAATCTTTAACTACGCAACGGATTTTGAAACGGTTTTTTAAATAGAGTGATTCTAGAGGAAGGTTTATATATATAATACATGTACACCTGTGCGAAACCGGGGCGAATAGCTAGTTATTTATAAGTCGCTTTCTATGGTCGTCAGTTTGAGGATGAAGTGGAGTGGTGACTGATAGTTAATTCTTAATTCTAGGCAAGTAAAGTCTCTGTTTACGTAATTTTCATAGCCTGCAATTTTTTTATGTAACTGAAATTTTACACAGGCTAACGGCCGACATGATAGAGGATGATATGATGATATGCAGTCAGGTCAGGTAAACAATAGTGACTAACTCACCAGGAAATAACCAAGATGGTTTCCAGGGGAAACACGTGGAGTTCGACCTGATATTAGAGAATGGTCACGGGATCCTTAGTTACCCCTAATTTGTTAACAATCACTCTTATTGCCATGGTAGTATAGAATAAAAAATAAAAAAAATTAATCACTTTCTACTGAGTATATTCACTACTCAGGTAAATAAATTCATAGCCTTTTTAAATTATAGTCTAAGAAATGGAAAAGGGCTAAGCCAAAACAATATGTCAACTAAAACAAATACCATTGGTATATTTACACAGATCGTAATGTGTGAAAGCTAATGAGTATTTCATGACACGAAGTAAAATAAATATTAACATCAATTTTAACAATATTGTCAATAGTCCCGTGACATTTTCGATAAAACCTTTCACATTTGACCTTTCTGACCTTTTCAAATGAAAAAGTATAAATTGCTTGGGTAGCAGATAATTGCCTTTAGCATTAGGTCTCCAATGTTAACTATACATGGTCTGTCTGTTCAATATTCTTCTATATTGAGTATTATGTCGTCTATACTGCTTATTGTGCTTGTGGAGACTGGTCTGTTTAGGTTACGAACACTGTTAATTCCTGGCTCCGGCTCGAAGGACCAATATTAATTCCTGCCAATAAAACTAGCGGGCTGTAATTAACATATGTTGATTGAAAACAGTTATGAAAGATATACAGATGTACATAAAATTTAGAATGGTAGGTAGTAAGCCGGTAAGTGTCGGTGCCGGTCGGACAAGAAGTGCCGGTGTCCGCCACCGGCCGCAGTTGCTGATGCGCAGCACCGCCCACGCAGCCCGCGGACCGGTGCGTTGAGTGCGTAGACAAACCCTTAGAGTTTGCTTTTGACAAAATTTCTATGGCATATGCTGGTGGCCCCTATATTATCTCAAATTTGAATTTAAAAATGAATGTATATTATTGTAATATTTGAAAAGATTACGAGCTGAGTTTCTTGTCAGTTCTTCTCATCTCGAAAGCATTCCGAACTGACGGTAGATTTAACATATCATAAGAGTCTGTCATAGACCTATATGTATGAAGATATTTTGCTTTTGATTTTGATATGTAATAATATGAAAATAATATCTCTGAACGACATTTAGTCCCAAACATTTAGTATTGTTATATTAACTGAACAACTAATATAAATACATAAATAACTTTTTTTTGTAAATACATAGGTACATAATATACATAGCAAACACATAGACCGATACAAAGAATCATACTCAAATAGACAAATTTGTACTGTGTGAGAAATCGAACCCGCGACCATCAGATGTAGGGTATGCTGAGATCACCGAGACCACCGAGGCCGTCATGATTGAAATAAATCAGGAAAAGTACCCACACAGACAACTTTAGACAAAGTATACCTCTGGTATTAGGAATAGTTAGCTATTGGAAAATATAAAATTCTATAGCAATATCTCCATGTATTGTTAGTTCGACATATTCTATACACATGAATAGTTATACACAGTACGACGTCCCCAACTACATTATCATTTCCCTGGATTTGTACTACCGTGAGACTTAAACCCAAAATCTATAACGCTAGACTACTACTATCTGGACAGCGAATTTATTTAATATCCCCTCTTTACAGGTCCGTTATCATCGCAATACGATAAATTTCACTTCCATTAACTATTGTCTATTAAAGATTTAATGCTGTAAACTGGTCCACCCACCAATGGAGAGGGAACAGTAATGTACATCGAGTGATGTATATGTGTGTGTGTTCAGGAGAGTAGGTCCACAGATCGGGCCCACAATGCACGTTGTTTATCCGCTAGGGCGCGGGGGTGCGGCTCGAGTGCGCGGGAGGCGGGGCTCCCGGCCGGGCCCAGTCGGTTGCCACCGCCCGCTGTAGTCGCCCGCGAACGCGAGTGCATCAGTGCCCTTACACCACAAACACTGACACTCCGACCTTCACTCCGTGAGAACGAGACATCTATATCAGGTACGTTCTCTTTTTAAATTTGAAAAAAGGATGCGATTGGATTTTTTTAATATTATTAAAGAGTCTGTATCATTCGCTTCATTATGTAATATTAATTAATTAGCACATCGGAACTCGGAGGTGTAATCACATCTTATACAAGCGATTTATTGTTTAATCAAAATTAATCACGTTGAACGCTCCGCTACGACGCGTAGCAGTGTCTACGAGAGAGCTTTATATTGCTGTTTCCGATATAGAAAGCCCCATGGGGGCGACAGCGGTAATTGGCGCGGTTTTTCACGGCCAAGACAAGGTCTTCTGGTGGTAACGGGGTTGTTGATAAAACTGCTCGACTGGCATTGCGCGACTGTCCCACGTAAGTCGCTGCCGTTTCACCATAATTGCCTTAGAAGCCTCGACCTTGCAGCTATGTGGACCATGAGTTCTTTGTTTCCACGGGTTATATTTCGCCGTTCGGGCGTTTTACGACGCTCGATGTAGACAGATTGTTGCGTTGATATGAGGTTTTAAAGCTGTACCGGGTTAATATTTTGTCGTCACATTAATAAAGTACAAGTCAGCAATCTTTAAAGGGCATTTGAACCTTTTGATGGAATGTTTCTTTTTTTATGAAATATGAATACTATGTTACTTAAATAACATAATATAAAGACTTTCGTTTTCTTCTTATTTTGTTTATCTATTTCTATTACATTTATAATATATTATGAAAATTTGTTTAATAATAACATAATCATTTTTAAAGTAGGTATATATACTAATACTTGTAAACTAATATAAAATAAATACACCATATTTTCCTTACGAAAGTTTTTCAAATGAATCGTCAAAGAAGAAAAATGTAATGATATGTATATAAATGAAATATTTTGTTGATTTGTTTAATTATATTACAATGACGTATTATATTTACATATATACAAGTATCTACGAGTACTGCTCCACTATCATTTAGCTATTAATAATCATAAAAGGTCAAATGTTATATTATCAAGTACTGACAAACTATCATATCTATTAAGGATATCAATATGCTTATCTGCTATCAAGTTAAATAAAATTGTTTCTGAAATTCTTAATTAATCTATACGCGGTCTTTTACTTTTTTTTACGCTGTACCGAAAGTTCTCATTACACCAGAAACACTATAGATATCTCCCACAGACCACAAAAACAATGGTTCTATACCATTATCATTTATTGACTCCCAGTAATGCATTCGAGAAAACAGAATAATGAATTTATGAAATAGGACATTCTCCGATAAAGGTCGGAAAGGTCGGAACACGAAAAATAATTTAATATATTGTCCAGGATTGATTTATATATTTTATACCATCATTAAAAATACTTAATCTTTTACAGTGTAATGAAGACTGTTTGTTTTGTGATCTTTTGCCCACAAATTATTAAAAAAGTGGTCCTATACTATTACTGACTAGTAACGTATATGAGAAAGAAAAATGAATTCATGAAACTGAGCTACATTTTCCTAGAAAGGTTAAAGGTTGCAACACGAAAAATAAACTCGTATATACCGATGATTGATTAAGACATTTTGTATCCTCATTATGAATGTTTGATCAATCACAATAAATTGGGGAATTTATTCCCACAGACCTCAAAAAATGGTGCTACACCATCAGCGTTTATTGACTTCGAGTAACGCATTTGAGAAAGAATAATGAATTCATGAGAAGAAAAACAACAAAGGTTAAAGGTCGCAACCTGAAAAATAATTTCATATATACCGGTGAACGATTTAGACGTTTAGTAATGATAAATTCAAGGAGTATTTGAACATTTCGATTCATATTCATTGGGAAAATGCTCAGTTTCGTAATAACCACTGTAACTTATTGATGTATATAGAAACTAAATGACCCTGCAAACGTTGTTTTGTCATACAAGTTAAAATCGCTATTAATAAATAGTAGTTGGCGGTAGAAGAGTGAAAATTTAATTGAATGTATTTTTAATGCTATAAAAATTAATTATTGTAAAATAAAAAAATGTTAGGAGTACCCCTTAACACTTAGGGGTATGAAAAATAATAGATGACTACTGAATATGCATATAAAATTTCATAATAATCGATCAAACCGTTTCGGTGGAGTATGGTAACTAACATACACCTCCGAAACAAATTTTATATATTGTATTTAGAATTATAATCCACTTTTTATTGACGTCTTCTCTTTTCTACTACTATAACGATTATATTAGTACAAGTGAGTAGTATGACAAGCATTCTGAAATAGTGTTATCACTTCCTACGTGGTTCTGCTTACCTGTTACTTTATGGACAAACTAGAATATAGTTATTGTTAATAGGAAGATATGATTATATCGGACACAACAAACAAGCAATGTATGGTAATAGGACTTTACCAACTGAAATACTGGTCATTTATCCCATGGGACCTCATAATGATATAGTATTGTGACAAAAATGAGAAAACAATTTTTTTATAATTTTTGTGTATTACATTTTTTGTCACTATGTGAAAAAAAAATCTATCTCCTAGTATACGATGGGTTTAGACAAAACTAACTTTGTCAGAATAAAATCACATTCGAACTGAGATAACTTCTCCTATCTATGTATTTCTATAATACAGAACAATATCGATGATCTTTATCAATATTTTAAAAAACGGTATATCGTTTTTTAATTTTACCGTTTATTAAAAAATAAATGGGGTATAAAGAAATTTTTCTATCTTCTAACTATTTCTCCGTTTCCTCTTTCTAAATCTTTGAATATATACGATTTTTACAAATAAAATGAGATTATTTTCCCACGGGAATGTGATTTATGTGTATAATATATGCATAGGTATAACTTTTGTCACATACACCGGTTTTTATAAGATGAACACGGGGCAAGTCAGTTAACCCATCGTGACAAATTAACTAGGAAGTTACCATAATGATCTTCAGGGGGGACCGCGTGGAGGTTTACCTGACATGGTACATTGCATGGGGTCATTATGGGGTAACAATTCCTTTCCTCCGGAGATGGGGTTAGTTTATCCAAATAAATGTAATGGGACCTCACACTAACACGGCATATAATGGATATATTTAGACAAACTTTTCTAAATACATTTCAATAGTTAGTGTTAAGCATATTATATAATGCAAATTAAAGAATATTATGTACTACTGATATAAGAGATGATATCATTTGAACATTAACAGCGTCAGTTTTCAATTATTTTCTCTCATTAGTGTAATCATTGGTGCGCACAACTTTAATTAATTTTACACATGCAAACCAGTTCAGCATAGACTACATGCAATCATATAAAGTTGACGTGATATAGTATGTTTAAATGAGAATCAGTCAAACATAATTGCTTTTAACTGAATCTGAATTCAGAACGAACTGAAATTAAAGTATACCTCTTTATTTATATATACTGTATTATTTATAAATGTATATTTACTCGTATATATTGTATATACAAAGTACTATAATACCTTGAAATTATTTAGAATGGATAACTAAACATAAAAAATAACATAACAAAGTTCATTAATAAGTTACAAAATTCTACGGCGGTACTCACAAAAGAAGCATATAGAAATTCTTGTTTTAGAATTTCTTTTTTGTTTATAATTTCAGTAAAAAATCATGGAAATTTATATTTACTTCAAAACTACAAAACATAATACTGATGAATCGTAAAAGCCTAATAATTACAAATACAACAAATAAAATTTAAAAAATTTTTAACACACTATAATATTTTAATGAAAATCACGTGTTCTATAATTACATTATAGAAAATGGGATTCTATACATATGATATTGATATATAACATTAGATAGAAAACGGAAATAGGTGTGTCAATATAAATAGATTATTAACTTTTATACAATAAATTATACGCTTAGCGTTTGCATGGATTTACATACATACTCGCAGCGTACATTTAGATTTACAACGTCATGAGGAAAAAATCTCTCAAATGTTCTTAAACCGTTTAACCTAGAAGGGAAGACTTAGGAATAGACAATAATACCTACTATACTATATTGACTTCAACAGAATAGCATCATAATATCATAATTGATAAAATATGTATGATTTAGTGGACTGCATTTTGATAGGTCTTGGTATTGGCATTTTTTAGTAAAATGAAATGAGAATTTTTGAGCAAAATTAATTGTACGACATATTTATTTTTCAGAAGAGCACTTATACAGTAACTAAAAAAAGGAATGAATTGACTTATAATACAGTGTTACCAGCAATACAAAAATGTTGCTAACAATGATTATAAGATTTAGCTAATTTACAATGTTGTATATATTTTATGTGTATATTACATAACATATAAATACAGAAAAATAACAGTATCAGTTGAAATATTCCGTGCTGTAAGACAACGGCGCGCCTCGTAATTTAAAGGGCGTTGCGGATACAAGCGTGGCTGATGCCGTGAGTACTGGCAATCATACTGTGATATCCAAAATATTCACACGTATAAATATGATAAAGTCGTAAATCGTGACGACTTGAAAACTAACAGCTTATCAGTTTCCATTTTTAGGCAATTTCAATGGCAGAACTACCAGATAGTAAGCTCTCCCTCCATCTCAATTTTTTTATCAATTGGAATGGCAGAAAAGCTGACCAGATTGGTAATTATCGCCAATGTATATGAATAGCACTACGGACACCACGCCGCCCGTTATACCACTCATGCCTGTTTGTGTGTTAAAGTTTCACCTAAAAATGGCTGGAGGAATTACTACCAAATATTTCATACATTGTTAAATATGGGTCAAAATATATGGTAAAAAAAAGACGAGAAAATCGTCGGAGTGGTAAATTTTTTTATTAAAATTGTAGGTAAGGCCGTGTTGAATTTTTTAGTTAATTTATCAAATGGAGTCGAATACGAGTACATTGCTTTATTTATAATTTAATAATTGATATCAATGTCGCTAACTCTTAAATGTTCATAAAATTTTGTTTTGCTAT